TTACAACCGCTTTAAACTTTCAGGCTAGGCTTTCTCAAGCCAACCTAAAGTTTGTCTTGATTAACTTTTTTATCTAGTTCAACAATTCTTCTCCTCCAAACCATGTCTTTTTACCATTATCGAGAGTACCTCTGCACTTAAACAATGCATGCGCGTGGTGCTGCTGACGTAGAACACATGCACTGCGTCTTGTTTACGTGCAGAGGGAAGCATGTGCATGCTTTGTGGTACTTTCCATAATGGCGGAATACGTGGTAGATTATTTTGTGATAGAAGTAATATTGACAGAGAAATCTAGACATTTGTGACAGAAAATGTATAAAAATTCAATTTGTTTGGATGGCACCCGGTGGCTGTTTGTGATATAACGCCCTAAATAAAATTTTACAGAAACCTCAGTTTTTTTCATATCAACTTCAAATTTGGAACATATTTAGACATAAGACTTTAATTTTATAGCAATTTTAGAGTAAAACCTGTTATGTCAAATATTTATTTTATAAAAAATATAATAAAAATTGTACAGTGCATTTTCTTTACAGTAAATTTTAACTTCTATAACTTTTTGATACTTTAATTTATTATTATTTTTTTTTTATAATTCTACTTATGCAATAGGGGTTATGCGCAACAGACTTCCGTATTCTGTTAACCGGGTCTCGTCGCTTCCGGTTCAAGCGTTTTGCATATGCTTAGTTAAATATGAAGCAGTTTTACTCAAGATGCCTTCAAAGTAGATACCAATGATGATCATAACCAATGTCCATCACATATGCGGACTGATATCTAAAAGTTTTTTTAATTTTTATTCTTTTCATATTTAGATATAAAAATTGAATAAAACTTCAACAATAAAAACAGCTAGCTAGTTTAACTGATTATCTTAAAAGTCCATAGATATCGCTATTATTTAATACGGCTGTTAACACGTTCTCCAACAAGCGGAAGCAATGAGACCTGTTTTCCGGGTTTGGTCAGGTGATGTTCGACATATACCCTATAAACGGAAAGTATTCAGACCCCCTTAAATTTTTCACTCTTTGTTATATTGCAGCCATTTGCTAAAATCATTTAAGTTAATTTTTTT